AAATAAGTAAAGGGATGGACGTTTCAAGATATCCAAGGTTGATTAAAACATAAAATATGCTAAGCGTAGAGAACTATAGAATACAATTCATCACCTTCATTCTAAATAATCTTACCGCGTTCTCCCTACTAGTTTCAAATGCATCTGTAGTGACCATCTCAATGATTCCTATAAGGAACCAAAAAAGAAGAGATTTTAGGGCTACTCGACATCTTGACTATGTAAACCGATCCATAAGCTTGACTCCCATCTCCCTCCATCAACTTGTGATTCGACCACAAAGGTCAAAAGGTCTTTTGAAGGGTTGTAACATATGGGCAAAGAGGGTAAAGGTAGCCTAAAATTTGATATTTTGTGGTATACCTAATTTTTGAAGCAAAGGGTGATCAATCCTCAACACTATAATAAAGTTATCACCAAAGGGGATCTCATTAATCGATTTGTGCTTGATTGTGCCTCTTTGTATATGAGTTTGTAATGATAGGCTAGGGGGTTGTAATTTTGAATCGATGAGCACGTTAGCTTAGTTCACTATGTCTTCCATATTCCTAATTCTTTATTATGTTTGATTTACATGGTTAATTTGATCCATTCTCCCTAGTTTGTTTATTTATTGTTATTTTTTTTTTAAGTTTTCTCCTTTTACATTTTATATGAAATAACCAAGGAAAACTAGAAAAAGGGGAATATTCAAGTAACAACAACTTTAAAATCAAAAAAAACAAGATAAACCTATCAAAACAATCACCAAGATAAATGAAATAGGGGATTCGTAATCAAGCTAATACAAAGTAAAGCTAGGATTAAGGTGTAACCACAAATATTACAAAGTAGCAATCACAAAAAAAAGCGAAATAATCACAAAGATTATGGTAGAGAGAGAAAGTCTCTTTAATTACAAAATCAAATAAAAATTTTATCAAAAATTAAATGCAAAACGTTCTCAAAAGGAACTTAAATAGTCCGTACAAAACTGACTTAAAACGGGAAATGGTCTGGCCGAACACATGGTAGATTCGGTCGGACTACTGGGTAGGTTCGGTCAAACCAAGGGGTAGGTTCGGTCAAACTTCCCTGCTCCTGGTTTGGTCGAACTTTTGGAGTTCGACCTCTGTTTTAAAAATGTTGAAATTTTGTTTGCTACTGCCTGGGAGCTGAGATTCAGTCGGACTTCCTTAGTTTGGCCACACCACTTCAATTCTTCCGGTCTTCAACTGTAATGATAGTCAACCCCAAGAGGTGACCACAAAAGAGCTTGGCCCGACTACGTGTCAGAACACGTGGCACATCTTCCACTTCTTCCACCAAGTTCCATGCACCCGCGTCAAACCCCTCCTCTTCAAATGGAATTGCCCTCAGTTTCGGATCATCATCACCAATATCATCTTCAAAGAGAAAGCGAGAAAGATCACAAATATTTAAAGCTAGCATGAACTCCAAAGTCTCCCGGTAGTTTGAGCTTTTAAGCATTAGGTCCCACCCTTTCCACAACTTCATTGAATTCTCTTAGCCAGAAATCTCTCCTTCCATTGAATTCCCTTGGCTTCTTTAATTTTTTTGCCCTTGCCTTATAATTCTCATTTGCTTTCTCAATTCTCTTTTTGACATCTTCATGAAACTTTTACATCGTTTCAACTCTATCTTTTGCCTCAAAGCTCAATTCATCTTGAGGAATACTAGGCAACAAGTTAAGTGGTATAAGGGGATTAAAACCATACACTACTTCAAATGGTGTTTTCCCGGTAGCTATGCAATTAGAGCAGTTGTAAGCGTATTCAACTTGAGGAAGTTTAAGATCCCAATATTTCATGTGTTTGCTAATGATAGCTCGGAGAACGGTGGACATGGTACGATTAGGTACCTCGGTTTTGTCGTCGGTTTGAGGGTGACTAGAGGTACTAATCAAGAGATTAGTTCCCGCTAACACTAGTAGAAAAATATACAAAAGCCCCCCATGCATGCCACCGGTTTGAACAAGTGACAATGTGGGGTGCAATACCTCCCAAATTTGCCACCGATTCAAAACAGTGGTATAAACCGGATTTGGCACCGGTTAACCGGTGCCTTTAATAATTTTGCCCACCGATTAACCGGTGCCAATAATAAAGCCTGCACATTTTTTTTTTGGTGGCAGCCTCTTTTGCACTGGTTAACCGATGCCATATTTTAAAAAAAAAACCCTATAATTCCAGCAATAATAACCTGTTTTCAAGCTTGTAATTCATGTAATAATATTAACAAAAATAATTAATAATATTATTATTAAAGTTACTAATAATAATAATAATATTATCAAATATTATAATAAGATACAAATAATATTAAAAAGAATAATTCATATATAGATATAAATATTCCCAAATGCAATACAATAAAAAAACAAAGTGTATATATACATATACATATATATATATATATATATATATATACACACACACACACACACACACACACACACACACACACACACACACACACACACACACACACACACACACACACACACACACACACACACACACACACACACACAGAGGATAGTAAGTAATTAATGAATAATAATATAGTTAAAAAGAAGTAAACATAACATAAATTCACAATAAAAGTGACATTTACATGTTAAAGGTGATAAAAAGAAGCCAACATGTCACGAACATCATTAAGTTCCTTGATTGTTAACTGGTCATCCTTTTGTACCTTGCAAAACTTGAAATACAGAAAAATTATATTAGAATCAATTAAATAGGCTAAACAATATGTATTTTTATTAGAAACGGCCTATATGACATCTATTTTCCCATTTTCTACATTTCTTATCAAATGAACTATTTATTTAGTATAACTTGTCAATGTTGGCTATTATTAGGTGTCTAAGACTTGAAATAACATCAATAGAATATTTTATTAAGTTTTAAGACGCATTTTACTCAAAATGGCCCAAATATGGCCTATATAACTTCTACGTTGCCCACTTCCTACATTTATTATCAAATTAACTATTTCATTCTCATAACATGTCAGTATTACCTAATATTAGGTTTCTAAGGCTTAAAATTGAATCAAAAGAACTTTTATTATGGTTTAAGACGCATTTTACTAAAATGGCCCAAATATGGCCTATATGACTTCTACTTTGCCCATTTCCTACATTTCTTATCAAATGAACTATTTCTTTCTCATAACATGTCAATATTATCTAGTTTTAGGTGTATAAGGTTAGAAATCACATCAAAAGAGCATATTAACAAAAAATGGCCAAAATATGGCCAATATGACTTCTATTTAGCCAAATTTCTACCTTTCTTATCAAATGATCTATTACTTTCTCATAACATGTCAATGTGTAAACACCTACTTTTGGTCTCCTGTCCCGACAGGCAATGAAATGACGATAAATAAAATCATCTTCATGTTGGATCGAAGTGAAGAATGCTTATGGATAATTGGTTAAACCACAAAACATAAAAGACTAGCCCAAACCAAGAAACAAAGACAAATAGAGTGCATATAATTTTATCCGATCATAATTAGGCTTAAGCTCGTACTTAAAACCCAATAATGACGGATTTAGAAGCGCTTAGGTCAAAATAAGCGCTACCGCAGAATATAACACGCGCATCTCAAGGACTCGCGCTGGGCTCGCGCGTACAACTAATTCAGTTACACGTGACACTCAGCGCAACTACTAGAGTTGATCTCGTGAAAGATTTAAAATTTCAAAAAATTGGAAAATCGAATCTTGTCTTAAAGCCGCGAGCAAGTTAATTAGTTGCACAGCCTATAGTAGCGCAGCTCAATCACTTTCGCTGGGTGGTCGCGCCCAGCATTTCCAATTGTGTGCGACACCTGCTGCGGTAGAATGTTCAAAACCCTAAACCTACTCATTCCCTATAAATACATGCTTAATCTGAGGCTTAAACAGACAGAAATTAACCCTAAACTCTGGCAAAAAACTTATGAACTTGTGCTACCTAACCCCTCTTGTCCTAAACACTCACCCTTTTGATATTTTGTTACTACGGTGGACGTTCCCGAACAAGAAGGAGTCCATAAGTGTTCTAAACGGAGATCTAGCAAAGAGAAGTGGTAAATTCTCGATCACTCTTATTTTCTTGTTTAAAAGAACTTTAATTAATTTATTAGTGTTGCTTGATCACTTTACAAGGTTTAATTAATCAATTCCACACAGCATCTTGCGTTAAATAAGATTAGAATTGAATAATTAATTGTTGGTTGATCACTTAAGCCGAGGCGAATATTGTTTATTTCTTGTCATATTCACGAATTTGACTTAATAAAGAATAACGAAGTTGCACTGTAATTCCTACGTGAATTAATGTGTGTAAATAAAATCGACTAACTTAGTTTTAGGTATCGCGTTGCATATATTGTTTGGTGATGAAATTGTAAAAAAGGAAGAGCTAGTAGAGGTCGTACTAGCGCTATGTAACACCTGAGATTTTTAAAACTCGATTTATTATACTGTAATATTTATTTTATTAGCTTAATTAAGGTTTTGTGTCTATTTTAATAAGAACGAATGTTTTATTCTTAAATTTTTATTTATTTATATTATATTATTTCGGAAGCTAATTTTACGAAGGTTAGCAATTTATTATTTTAAAGTTTGTTTAGATATGTAAAATATTTAAAGATTTGCATGAAATTTTGTATTTTTACCCGAGAGACTAAAATGACCAAAAATACCCATTTTCATACAAAAGGATCAAACCCACCTCTTCAATCTTCTTTCCTTCACGATTAAGTTATGAGGATCAAAATTATTTTACATCTCCTATTACTTGTAGCTTAGTGTCTTGCCAAACTAATCAAGGATAATTAAGATTAGAGTTAGCTTTCTTGTGCTTATCCCCTCCTTCGTGACTAAGGGATGGAAGAAACAAAACAAAAACTCCTTTTCACGGTTTAGAAATAGATGGTACAAAGTCTAATTTTGCTTCTTTATATAATTGATTGATCATAACCCCATAATTATCACAATAGCAATTTGATCTTATCATCCTTTCTTTAATGTTCTAGCAATAAGAAGACAAATTCCACCTCTTCAATTACCACCTTCACGGTTAAGAAATGACTTGGGATAAGACCAAGTTTTGTTTCATCATATTCCTATAAGAATCAAATTATAGTTATCAAGTGACTTAGTTACTCCTATTTTCTTCCTCCTCTTGCAAGTCTTAGCAATAAACTTACTACTTTCCAACCATTAAAGAAATACTGCAATCACTGCCATCCCTCTTCTCCTACTACCGCCTGACCTCTATCATCATCATTCAACCGCCGCCGCCCTGCCGGTGTGCGCTGCCTCCCCTGTACTGCTCAAAACCACCCATCTATTTCTTTCATTTTGGGTGATGCGTGCTTTGTTCTTGTAAAGATAAAGATTGGTCTTATGACATTATAATCATTATACTTATTCAATAAGCCTTCATTCGTAACCTTGTTAAAAGTATAATGATTATAATGATTTTATTAAAAAAGGTTACGAATGAAGGCTTATTGAAATGATGTTTTATTACCTATTTTTATATATTCTACTCTCCCAGTTTTATTAACTAAAATGAATTGAAATGAAGTTACGCTGCTAGAGTAGTACGTTACTGAGTTTTCGGCTCACCGTTTTATGTTTTTCTGTTTTAGGTACAACTGGAACAATGCGATCACGTAGTGGCGAGGATTTTAATTACCTTAAGAAGCTCATTAGACATTTATGGTTTTAAGAGGATGATTTATTAATTTAATTAGCATGAGACTGAAGTAAATTTATAATTAAATAAGAAATTCTATTATTGAAGTAGGATTAATGTCTGTACTGAATAGATATCTATACTTTATGAATTATAAGGTTGTTAGGTATGAATGTTGCCTTGTAACTCTCATTAGGGAGTTACGGCAGTGATGTCTCGACCAAATTAGGTTAATTCCGCTGCTTAGATCTCCTGAATACCTTAGTTAGAGGTCGGGGCGTTACAGGCTAGGATAGAATTCCCCCCTAAAGGGAACGTTATTTTAGTACCCTCGCTACCGAGCTCATTTCTGGTTTATGTAGACCAATTTGGACATGGGTAAACTTACGATTGGTGCTAATTATTCCATGAACTCCACATGGAAGAAAGGCATGAACGAGGTTTATGAGTTTTCGCAAAACTCATTGGCGACTCCTACTTGTTTCTTATAAAAAATCGTGATGACAAGATCAATTCTAATTCAAGGTCCCCCTAATAGTCAAGAATTCAAATCCTACTACACCTTAACAAGTGTAAAGTCCTAGGCATTTAAATGGCCATGGGAATCTAAGGAAGGACCCCTTTACAATGGGATCACCCACCTTACAGTGGCGACTAAACTGGGGACTTAGAGGTTACATGATTAATTCTTAATTATGGTCCAAGGTTTCCAACACTAGGTTGCCTATGGGTTGTAACGATAATTAACTTGGATAATCTCTAGTTAGAGAGCGAGTGTTGAATGCATAATATCTTCCTTTTGCACAAAAGTAAAAACCAAACAAGTAACATTGCATCATGCATAATCAAAGCACACTTCAACTTTTGGGGATTGGCTCATTAATTAGGGGTCGCCAACACTAGGCTTCTATCCCGAAATCAATAACAATCATCCCACCCATATTGCCAACTACATGATGGGAGAGCGATGTCATGAGTCAACACGTTGAGTGATTGATTTGTGCGTCGTTTCTTAAGTTATGGTACCTTTGGACACCAAAGCCTTTTGAACTTAGAATGGCATTGCGTGAATCTTGGCTTATGACATGCTTTATGTGATTATGTGAGTATGTGCAACGTGTTAGGATAGCATTCTTTTTTTCTTTTTTTTTTAATTTTGTTCTAGGTTCCCAATTACGAAGTTGTCCCTTCATAATTTGAGTCGTATTCGAAGGGTAAAATAAAATAATTAAAAAAAAACGATGACAAAATAAAAAAAATCGATCAAATAAAAAAAAAAAAAAACTTACGAGCAGGTGGCGCGCACAACTGAATGAAGTGCGCGACCCCTACCAGCGCAAGTGATTTTGATGCGCACGCCAGCTACGCGCAGCTTAATAACTTGCGCGCACCCACTGTTACGAGTCGATATGATTTCTCAAAAAACAAATTGACTCGTTCAAATAATATCTTCGTTTAAGAATTGTTTGAGGGTGATGTTATCTGTTCGAATATATCTTGCGTCATTTCCTTTTTCCTTTCTTCTAAACAAGCATATCGATTTACTTATCGTTTCGTAGTTCCTTTAGGGCCGGTTTCCAAGCTTGGGAACGAAGACTACCAGGCGCTCGTATTCTACGTTTACCATCAAGCAATCCACCCCTTTCAAACCACCTTCCCTCGACAACTAGTTCTAGTCCAACAAAAATGACAACCATCGAGCAACTCCAAGAAGAGATTGCTCGCTTGAGAGAAGAAAAGGCTCAAGATGCCGAGGAAAGAAGAATTAAGAAACTTGAAATGGATGAAAAGAAAAATGCCGAGACCCTAGCCTTTCAACAAAATATGAAACGATTATCTGTCAAAGAAAATTCGTTGGAGAATCTTGTTCTTTGTTCCACTATGGGGAACAAGTAATTCAACACAGAAAAGTTTGCTCCTCCCCCGGGACTTGCTTTACCGGAAAAGTTCGTAACTACGGACTTGCAAATATTTAAGGTGACCAATAATCCACAAAACCACTTAGTGTGTTTTACTAGACCATGGCATTAAAGGGAGTTGATCCTAAGCTTTATGCTTTAACTTTCCCTTTATTTCAAGACCCAACCGCAAGACATTGGTACTATGGGTTAGATTCGAAATTCAAAACAACATGGGAAGATGAAGGTTTAAGCAAGGCGACGATGAAGGTTTCCTTGATTTGTATGGTAGATGGCGAGAAAAGGCGGCTCACCTTGCCCAAAGGCCACCTGAACTCGAGTTAGTACAAAAGTTCATTGACAATTGTCATGAAAAGTACAAAATGCATCTATGTTACCTTGGTTTAGACACTTTTCAAAAGGTATGTTATGTGGCTACTAGGATTGAAGATGATCATGCTAAAGAAAATGCAAACAAACCTTATCATCATTAACCTAAGAATAACTACAAAAAGGGGAATGATAATACTTCATCCTCTATTAAAGTATTTTGCGACTTCCACGCATTATAATGACAGTAATGATGCACTGAAAAGACAGACAAAAGAAAGAAAATTTACACCATTTGCTTTAAGCTATAAAGAATTGTTAGAAAAATTAAGCGAAAAAGGCTTACTTGCACCAACAGGGCCAACACCACCCACTCCACCAGAAAAAAGATTTGTTAGTTGGGATGGTAATGCTTATTGTGCTTATCATAGAGGCGTTGGGCACGATACTAAGTGTTGCTACGTCTTAAAACACAAAATACAAGATTTAGTAGATGATGGGAAAATTCCCACGCCTAAACCTAACAATAATGCATCTCCATTAGGAGTGTTTTATGTTGAAGAGGACTATATGGGAAGTGATACGTTCGATCCTTTGGATTATATCACACCTATAGGAGAACCTCTAGCCATAATACTCATAGGGGCAACTAATGAAGTATGTGGACTATGGGGCGACGACTATCAAGACTTATAGGTCACTAAGTATGCCGCCGTCCCACCTCCATCTTGTTTACAAAATAAGACAAATGGAGCGCTTGATTGGGATCATTTCTTGGGGTAGTCACAAGACTTATCAAATCTCTCCTTTGATGAACAATGGCATCAAGCACAACTCATATAACATCTTGAAATGGAGGCACCTTCAAAGCCTCTAGAAGAAAGTTATTTCATAAGTCCTACAATTAACCAAAATGAGATAGATCATCTAACTCTTTCTGGGCGAGTTTACCAAGCACCACTAAATGGATCTTCGACCACACAAAATCAAACTCAAGGTAAAGTACAAAATCCCATACCACCTCTACCTGAGGTGGAAGATCCATTGGTTAAACAACTTCGCCAATCCAAGGCGAATGATAGCATTTGGGAACTCCTAAGTACTTCTAAATAACATAGGAATTCTCTTATGAACGCTCTAACGGCTTTGCCTGTAACCACAGACACAACCCCTCAGGATCTCATTAACTTGCTTACTAGCGAGAAATCCGACAAATCAATCATTTTCACTAATGATGATTTTCCTTCAAAAGAAACTACCCACAATAATGAATTATATCTAAATGTGGGGTGCAAGGGATACAATATCCCACTTACTTTGGTAGACAATGGGTCGGCTGTAAACGTGCGCCCAATACGAACAGCAAAATATCTAGGCCTTAATCCAGACAAAGATTTTCATTTAACTACACAAAGAATAAGGGCCTACGACAGCTCGAGAAGATAGGTGTGTGGAACTGTTAAGCTACCAGTCACCACAGGCCCAATTCAAAAGACGGTTGAATTCTACATTATGGACATTAAACCTACATTCAATCTTCTACTTGGACGTCCTTGGATACCTAAGCTTGGTAAAATACCATCCTCATTTCATCAAATGATTAGGTTAAACTATTAAGGGCTTCCTATGACTATACATGCTTCACCACTCAAAATAGCTATAAATGACCAATCAATTTTGGAAACAAACCATGATAATAATAAAGAGTACATGTGGGGATTTTCCACGGAGCCAATCTGCACAATTGAAATAGAAGAAAGCCATGAACAACCATTCAAGCTTGATCCATATTCCACTCAGATAATAAACAACATCTTATTCAAGAGTAGTTACTTTCTTTGGATTCCTAGCAATGAAGAAATCTCTGCTACTTCCTATCCCAAAGAAAAGTTTCTCCTTTGGAATAGGATATAAACAAACCAAAGAAGAACTAGAGTCTCACGATGCAAAAAATAAAGCACGTAGAGACAACAATAAGAAAGGGATAATCACTTTACTCTAATCCTACCAATAAACCCTTAATGGACAATTCATTAGGGAGGGAGAAGATTACCCTTACTATGACTTTCCAAATTCACTAGTTCTGGAAGGAGTCAAGAAGCCTGTATTCGAAATATTTCACAATTTCTACTTCTTAAATGACGATCTTAAAATTGTTGAATCAAAACACCCAACTCTAGGGTGCTATGATGGGCAAGCATTAAACTTGCTATTTAGACTAGAGTAAAATCGTGTCGCTACAATGACTAATCAAAATTTCATTCAAGATGAAGCTTTTGACCCAACTTCATTGATCACCCCTTCTAATAAAACCTTTGAGCATGGATGGAAGAAGTCTTTCAAATGGACCAATCATAAAGGGGATAAGCTGGAAATCGTCACAGGCGAAGGGAAGATGTTTGAAGAATCGGATGACGAATCTAGAATAGACTCTAAGAAAGCTGAAAATTTAGGCCTTATGGCAATTATTGAATCATTATTTTCTAGTTCTAAGGTCGAAGATCCCAAAAAGGATTCTTCTCTTGATGTACTCTCTTTTTAATTTAATAATATGAGCTCTATTTCTTAGTATGTGCCTTCTCTTGAGTCTTTTGAATGCAATAACAATCAATCTAATGAAGATGATAAAATTAATAAATTGATTGAATTAATGAATGAAAGAGAACAAAAGAATCCTATAATTAAAGAAACCGAAACAGTCAATATAAGAACTAATGAAAACAAAAGAGGAGTCAAAATTGGCTTATCTTTATATCCAGAAGAGCGATCGACTCTCATATCGTCGCTCAAAGAATTCAAAGACGTGTTCGCTTGGTAATACAAGGATATGCCTGGAATAGATACGGATATTGCGGAACATACCATTCCCTTGAACCCTATCTCTAAACCGGTAAAACAAAAAGTTCGACGAATGAAACCTGATGTCGCTTTAAAAATAAAAGAAGAAGTACAAAAGCAATTAAACGCAGGTTTCATTCACGTATCTAATTACCCAGA